AACCAAACATTTGCAATTCACGAAGGATTTTCCTCGTGTTATTGAAAGAACAACACACGTAATGAACAAAATCGTTTTTAATAGCTTCTTCCTCTGGCTATTATGGTTGTTTATATATGAAGTAAAAAGATGTGAGACAAGTCTAAACCGGAAGTACGTGACCCCAAATATCCTGTTTTCTTCCAATCTGCCCTTCTTTGTTTCCTGGCACTCTGTTCTAAACTACTGATAAACAAATTTCATTGTGCGTCTTTCCCAACCACTTTCCACCTCATTCATATCATCGTCAACATTCATTCTAAGACTATTTGTTGCATATCTGTTTACTTCATAGATATATTTATATATTTGTATACCTGTAATATCCAGGGGAAGAGGCTATCTGATGCGAGCCTGTTTGCTTCTCTTGAAATTCTGACAAAAATCGTTACGTTTGTCACCTTGTTTACAGAGCAAGGTTATTAATTGACAACTTGCGTGTCAAATATTGCTTAGTTCTGATTATTTTTGATTTGTAAGGTCTTGTGGTAGCACTGGCATGCCAAATAGCTTTGAACTTCAAATTTTGTCGAAATTTATTTCATTATTATTAATATGAGCAACAAAACTCGTCCCGAAAAGTGACAAATTTACTACTACCGTTTTCATTTCACTCATCGACGGTATTGGTGGATTGACTGTGCGTCCATTTGAGTCTTTGCAATCGTACAAAAACACACATGAGCTGTTGGGACGTGCCATTGTGCTGCTCAGTTCAAAAATTAATATCAAGGCTCGAAAAGCCCTAAAAGAAGGCTTTTATAGAGAACACTGCACTTTCGTGTCCGTTTGTTCATATTCATTGATTGCATCTATAGATCAAACAAGTGGTAGTTGTACAGTGACTTTACCAATAAATTGCTCTAAATGGGCTTTTTCGATCCTCCTTCGCTCGTGAAAAAATCCCCGAAGGACCAAATATTCGGTCCCAAGTACTGGCACAACACGCACCTCTCAAACTAGCGAGCATGTACATGAAGGCCAGAGTGCGTGTGTGATACACAACCAAATTCATGATGGTCATATATAAATATTTGAGAGGAAGGAGCTAGATAGGAATTGGTTAAATGTTTATCATAACATATTGAATGGAGCTAGATCTACTCATTTCAGACAGTCAAGTGTGAATGAATTGTGTTTGTACTTGGTGCTTTCGAGTGTTGTTCTCCTACATACCCGTATTTGCAATTGCTTCAGGCCCCTCAATTTAGACACGCCTAATGGACAATTAGACCAAATGGAAGAACTTACGGTTTAGACGTTTTTCCTCTTCCGCTCGCATCTTACCAACTTTTGGTCATTGATTTTGAACTTGTGACCTACCTGCACACGATTGTTCCAAGTGTGTAATCCTAATTCAACAAGTCGCAGAACAAACCTGTTTCAGTAGGTAGCTGTTTACCGGTTTTCCCCACATGCAATTGTTCACATCTTGGTACAGGATAGCGGATGTGATCACTGCTGGATCGTATGTGGTACTTGCTGCGGGATAAAGTTGGGAAGGATTGATACTAGGGGAGGATGGTGGGGTGGGGAAGGGGGCAGGAACAGTAAAAGGATTCTCAATGTTATCAGTTTGATAGGTTATTTTTTCATTATTTGCTTTTCTTGACATCCTAAAGAGAAAATGGCTGCAACAAACAGTTTTATTGTTGACTTCAAGTTTCCGTGTTGTAATGAACGTTGCTCCGGCCAAAAATGGTGAGTGTATACAGTTCATTGTAAAATATTGTTTGTCGCTGTTGATATTCTGTAAACAGCGGTTTCTGTGTTTTCCATTTCTTTTTCGTGTGATTGGCATATTCAAGAATTGAGGTTCCATGTCATCCTCATTTGTGAATTCTATCCGCATCCGAATGAGTGTAGAGTTGTTTGACCCTCGATATTGGTAAAATACAAATACGTGTTATTTATGTATTCGACTCGGATACGCAGATGAGATTTTGAGTGCTTTGAGGTTGGACTGTTTTCTTCCCGCATTTGCTATCTGGTCTAACTAAGATCGGTGATCCCACTGAAAGGTCCCATATCTCTCAGTAAATCTTTGTCTTGGAACTGTAGTTAAATGATCATAGATTGCTTTGCCGATCCTATCACATTGTTGAAATGATCAGAACAATAAAGTCTGAAAAGTCAATTGTTGAACCAGTATCTACAGAGGGGAGGTCACGAGTNTTATATTTAAAAGTTGATACCCTAACCAACTTACTGTACCACTGTTACCGAACAGTTGTCAAGTGGATTTATTACTCAGCCAGACCCAGAATACTGCACAGGATAGGAATTATATCCGTCTCCCGATTGAAAAATGCCTACCTGAGTACGCCAGGTCAAACGTAATCAGTAAATTCCAATGTGTGTATAGAGACACT